ATATAAAAGACCAAAAACAGGGAAGAGAAAACATTGTTTTAAACATATATTACAAATTTTCCCTTTAATTTGCACATTTCCGGCAAATGCATGCCATATTTTCCATGCATACATGTTTTTCACATTTTTCACAGACAAACTTAGTTTTTCTGTCTTTTTGGCCTCACATTCAGCACATCTTTTATATGTTGTCTTTACTTTCTTAGCAGGAGGTGCATTGGCCTCATTCTTGCCCAGTTTTACTTTTAGGCTTTGTGGCGGCATTACTAATTATTAATCTTATTTTCTTATAATCTTCTATCAGTTGAAATATCAGTATTTTTAGAAATGAATGTCATGTTCGATGCCCAATAGGTGGTCTCTTTGTTGATAACAAAATTATCCGTGCATTTATTGTAGCAAAGTTCAACATGCAATAAAGTAGTTGTTTCTTTCTGAAACCAAAAAGGGAGGAGTAAACTTCTCTTTTACTTGTGTTCAAAAATGTTGGAAGAATTTCTTTTTTATTTTTCCTCAAACTTCCAACAACTGTTATTATTATTATTTTTTTTTTTTTTTTTTTTTTTTTCAAAAGTTCTTGAGAAAGTGGATAAGATGTTTACCAATTGTCCAGTGTTAAATTCCTTCCTGAGTTGTAAAGAGGTTCCATTATTCTTTTTACCTCACTACTGGGAGAGTTATCCACTTGAAATGGACCTTTTGGCTGCTGGTTCACATAAATTTCTAATTTCCAAGTGTAGAAAACTGGAATTGACCAGCGCAAAAATTTTGATTCTGTATTTGGGTGGTTTTTTGACCTGTATTGCCGAAATTCAGCATCGATCTCTGAAAGGTTCCAGTTTTTCATCTATTGTGACATATTCTCCCATGTTGTACGATCTTATTATCCTTTCCTATAAAATAATCACTTTCATTTGAATCAGAAAGATTGCTCTCTAAATCAGATTCTATTTCAGTCGAAGATTCATGTTCACTGTAAGTTTCTTCATCATCAGCCTCTTACTCTTACTTACTTATTACCAGAAAACTACCTTCCTCAACTCTCTTCACCCGAAGAAATAGTATCAAGTAAATTTCTTAAATGTCGCATTTCTTCATCATAACTTGGAAACAGGCCATAATGATAGAATGAGTTCAATGCGTATACCAGTACTCAGAATTGTAATAAAAATGCTCATGCTGAGTGTGACATACCCTGGAATGGCGATTTCAGGATATCTATATTTAGAACTCTTTCGCCTTTCAGGGTTATGACCTTGGGGGCAGCTACAAGAAGAATCATTCATTTTTAAAAAAAGAAACAGCGAAAAAAGGGAGGGGGGTATGACGTGCCCAGCACGATCAAACCCGGGATAATGAAACATCCAAGACCAAATGCAGAAAGATGAAGTGAATGAATTGGAGAAAAGCTTAAAACAATGTATAAACCTTGAAAGGTTTTCATTAGATTTTGCTGAGGAAGCTACTTATATTGTTAGTTAAGCTTATAAAAAAAAATAATAAATAAAAGTATATGCTGATGGAGAGATGATTAACTACTCTCCTGTTGTCCCCATGCACCACATGGGCATTGCTTTAGAGCCTTTACTTATTTGGCTGTATATTGTATGGGCAATGTCATTTCTTTGTTGCTTTTAATTGTTTTGCCCATATCTTTTTTATTTTTAATATCAAAAGAGTCATATAGAATGGCAGTTGAAATCCACTAAATGGTAGTTGGTAAAGTCTAATTGTTCTAGTCCAAATGGGTCAAAAGCATGAACTTGTTTCACATCTTTTGCATGACTTGGTGAATTTTTATAGTTAAATGCTTAGCTTTTTACATGTATTTTACTGGTGATTTAATAACTTTATTCATGTACTAATAGTTATTTTTTTTTTTACCATAAACTAATATGGCTGATTCAGAATGTATGCAGCTAATTTCTTGTGATTTGGAATCAGAATCTATAATGCATGTAAATGAATGTGCACAAAACAGTGCTGTGTGTTTCGCTGAAGAAAAATAACAACAGCAAAAGAGTGAGAAGAGAGACCCGATATTTTTATCTAGATTGTGATGCTAGACTGTGTCTTTCACCTTATTTTAAGATATATCATACTAAATCAGATCTTAAGAAGAAAAAAAAAGCTTGGTAAATGTAATTGTTGTAATTGAATATAAGTGTAAAATAATCCTATTTTGTATGTATGTGCTATAAATGTAACTTCTCTTTTAGGTGTTAATTTAGGAAAAAAAAGACAACTCCCAGGGAAAAGGTTATTTTATTTGCAATAGAAAAGTTGTTCTAAATGTTCGCATATATTGCAAGTGTTAATTATGAAAACATTTTCCTACTTACAAATGCAAAATGAATGAAAAATGTGAATTTTTTTGATCAAATTTGGGAAAAAATGAAACTGTTAAGTAGTTAAGGAATGTTTAATTGATGTTGCAGAAATAGCTTTTCCTGATTAAAAAAAGACATTATTTCCCAAATTAATTTTTCAAAATTCATTATTGCCAGAATTTATAGATCTGTCCAAAAGCATTGCTGCACTTTAGATGAACGCATTGAAAAATTTGAATGGTGTTTCTTGGCACTTGATAGGAACTCTGACATCAATAACAAATCAGAATTAATGACATTCATAAAAGGAATCAATTCCAGTTTTTTAATATAACTGAAGAATTGGGTTCATTAATGCCAATAACATGATCTACAATACGTAAAGACCTGTATAATTAACTAAAATCGTTGTTGAAGAACTTATCTGTTCCATTGTCAGGATATCAACCAATGAACAATGGTAAGCATGAATGTAAAATTGTGAGAATGGTATTTAATGGTATTAAAAACTTGGGAGGGAGAAAAATATTTGTTAATCGTTGCATAATTAACAAACAGAATCTTTGTTCCAAAAATTCAAATATGCTGAATGTCACCTTTCTTGCAATAAAACTTATTAATTTTCTGAAATCTTGAGCATTGAATCACTGCCAGTTTAAAGAATTTTTAAAAGATTTAAAAATGAATATAGTGACCTAATTTATAACTCAGAAGTATGTTAGTTGAATAGAAGTGCTAAGCTAAAAAGAGTATACATCTTAAAAATTTAAATTCAGTTGTTTGTGGAAATGTAAGAAGTTCCATTTTCTAATTCACCAATAAAAAATGAATGTGTGACGATTAGGGAACTTCGAAGAAAAACCCAGATTATACAGAATATGTTTGATCAAATGAAGGCTTTTCAAAGCAAACTCGAAATTTGGAACAAATATTCAAATGACACGTTATTTTTTCCTTAAAAAAGAGAAACTTCTTCAGAATCACAAAAATATGCCCAGCAAATACAGAAAAAAATAACCTACTTTAAATCACGATATGAAATAGTTAAATCAGAAAAAAAAAAAAAAACATTCTTAAATTTTAATATAGGCATGGAAATAGCTCTTGATGAATTTCAAATGTAATTGGTAGATTTACGAAACAATACTGATTTGAGAAATAAATTTCAGAATATAGACATCCAAACAAAATTACATGATTTTAAAAAAATATCCATGATAGTCACACGTGCAATGCAAATCGTGACACTTTTTGGAAACATGTATGCTTGCGAGCAATTATTTTCTGCAATGAAAATAAGTAAAAGTAAGGCAATTAGTATTGATCAAGACTAAATGATGTATGATTGGAAAGTTAAGTGCTGTCTCATTTATTTCTGCAAGTGTAGACCAGTTGGGTGTAAAGAAATAATGCAAAACTTCTCATTGATATTTGTTTAAGAATTATCTTTTGCTGCTTTTTTAATAGTATTTCTATTATATACTTTATTTGTGTTATTTTTGAAAGGTTATTTTGTTAATAAAGAGAAAATTTGTGTATATCATCTAATGTCGATATTTTAATACATTTTGTTCATCTGGTCCACATAAAATTTTTTAATTTGTATTTATAGCAGTATAGTTATTTTAATATATTTATTATCACTTTTGTAATTATCACCAAGTGAACATTTTACCAGAATTACCATTCGAAAAGTAACTGAATAAACAGTTTTATGAGGCGCAAAATTCAGTTTGTGATTCAGTTTTTGAATGCGGCAGGAAATCTTTGTGAGTTGTGTCAAATTTATAACAAAGTTATAAATCTAAAATAATAAGTAAATGAAAAAGTAAGGCAGTGCTGTCCAGAGTTTAGGAAAGGCAGTATACTTGTTCATGATAAAAAGAGTCAAATGAATCATCTTGTCAAACAAAATGAATGTAAAAATTTGAGAAAACTCCTGCTCCATGATTAGTATTCTTTCATAGCTTTCAAGAAATGTTATGCATTGTACAGATTGACAAATTTCCAGAAATTCGATGCAGTTCAATTGTACTTAATCAGGCTACCATAAAGTATACATTATAAAAATCATAATTAAAGTTTATGGTTCTTTCATCAAAAAAAAAAAAAAAGAGAGAGAGAGATAGCTTCTAGATTTATATTTTTTAAATGCTAAAAGATAGAAAAATAAAAATGGTTCTTTCCTAAAGTATGACTGGTGGTGAAATATTGATTCTTTATATAAATGTTGAGACAACATGAAAGAAATACTTTTTCTTTTTCTTCTTTTATATATATATATATATATATAATATATATATATATAGCTAGTAATTTTTACAACTTCTTTTACCTAAAAATTGGCTTAGTTCTCAGTGTTGAAGAGAATTAAGCAATTTAAATTGATAAATGAAAAAAACACTCCTGATTAATTGAACTGAGATGTAGCAAGGTTATATGTATTGATTAAGAAAAGACATTTTCCTCCTACAAAATTGCTTATAAAAAATTATAACTTGCAGGTGAGAAAAAATAGTGATACAGAAAAACAAAAGACATATTCAGGTTTTTAAATTAGAAATAAATAATTTTTTTAAATAACTAAATGGTCTCTATTGCTGAAACATACAACACATTTACATTTTAATGTGTTATTTGATCTGGAATGAATATTACCTCTTCTTTCAGTGTATGTCTCCAACTTTTGAATTGCTGAAATGTGAAGATGGGTCTTGTGGACCTGTGTTACATGGTAATGAATCAGTTTGCCCAGTTCCCTGTTGGCAGCATTTCCAGGCATCACATTGCTTGTCACAGGCAAATTGTGGTTGGTGTGCATTTTCCGGGCCTGTAGTGGATGGACGAGGTCTGTGCATGGAGGGTGGAATTATGGGACCTATAGGGGGAATATGTCGAGAGAATCAAGTTCTCCTCCTTGGTCTTCCTTTACCAAGTATGCTGTTTAATTTCTCATGAAGCTATAATTTATGTTTGAAATGCTTTTTTTTTTCACCCTTTTTTTATGTATTAAGTTTGATAATATTAATATTACATGTAAAAGTTGAAATTCGAAACTTTACTTTTTCACTAATTATGTTTTTGACAAATTATATTTTCTAACTATATAATTTTTTTTATAATCTGAGATAACCTTTGTTAAATAGAATGTTTGTGCATATTATCGGAAATGCCAAAATTCTTTCTCACTCTTCTGATGTTTCTATAAAACATAATTAACTTTCTATCAATATTTTGAAAACACTTCAGATTCAAGAAATGTTTAAGAAAACAGAATCTTATTCATCTGGTAGAAGTTTAAGGTTTTAACTTTCAATCAATATGCAGTTTATTTAGCATGCAAAAGGGGGCTTTTTAGGCATTAAGATTCTTTTGTTGGGTTGAAACATAAGAAATAGCTTTTTTTTTTTTTTTTTTTTTTTTTTTTTTTTTTTTAAATTTAAAAAGTTTTATTTTAACAAAACAAAAAACAATAAAGTAGTCAATAATATCCGAGTTTTTGAATTTTCCCCATAAACCCAAGATGTTGAATACAGTCATTTGGCTACAGCCCATTCGTTTATATAATTCTCAAGTGGTTTGACATGTGTTTTTGTGCAGAAGTTGATTCAAACACTCTTCATCAAACTCATTTAGTCGTCCGGAATGAGCAGTGTCTTCAAGGTCAAAATTTCCATTTTTGAATTTGGCAAACCAATTTCTTGCAGTTTGTTCAGGCAATGCACCTTCTCCATACACTTCACAAATCTCTCAGGCAACTTCTGCAGCACTGGCGCCTCAATTAAACAGAAAAAGAAGAAGGTGTCGAAAATACCTATTTTTGTTGCCTTGATATTCCATTTTAATGTTCTAAAAAATATCAAAAATTAGCTTAGACCAAAAAAAAAAAATCAAATACACCATGTTGTAGAGGGAAAGATTCTCTTTCGAATAAAACAGAACATTATGCCAATGCATTTTATTTTTGCCGTGTAATTTTAAACACAACATAAATGACCATTACTTATGTTTCAATCCAGTATTACTATGTGAAGGGTAATTTTATTAATGACAAATGTTTCCCATTTCTAGGTCAAACTTTTAAATGGTTTCAGTTGTCTGAAGGTCCCCCAACTTGGACATATTTATCAAAACCTCCTGAAAATGAATGTAAAAATGGGCATCATAATTGTGATGATGCTCATGAAGTATGTGTAGATACACCAGATGGATTTGAATGCCCTTGTAAACCTGGATATAGAATGAAAGGGTGAGAAATTTTTAAATTATTATTATTTTATATTTTTATTTTATGTTAATGTATCTCTCTTAGGTTTCAGATCTAAGTCATAATTTTCCGCATTTCAGTTCTTACTTAAAAGTAATTAAGTGACTTTAGTATTTGGGAAATTTGTAATGTTTAAGGTTTTATATGACTGATCGAACTTCCTGTACTACCATTAGAGGCTTAACAGGTAGTTAACAGGCTTAGTGGTGCTATTTAATTAAAGAAACATTGAAATCTAAAACAAGGCCAAAATAGGCCTATAAACAGCAGGGCAACCACCATACTACCTGAAATAACTTGTAAGTAGAATAAACAACTAAAATATGAACTTAAAGTCTAGAAGCTGATGAGATTTACCTGCTACACCAACAAGTAAACACATTATTATGTACTTTGTAAAACAAAATATAACACCTGTTACTTACATGCATAAAAATATCTTACATATACAAAGAAATAAAATAGCAGAATATCATCAAACCGTAATTTTTCTTAAAACAGAGAAATTTTTAAACACAATCAATATATAAATTCGTTTCATTTATAGATATATATTTTATAAAATTTGACAATTTCAATTTAGTCACTGTATTTTTACTTAGATCCTTTAGAGTATTAAATTTAGCAATATTTGAAATAAATCTTAGAGCAATATTTTTTATAGAAGAGCATCTAAATAATGTGCTAAAGATTGACATTACTCAAGCCACAAAAACAGGTGCAATTTTTAATCAAAAACCTATTATAATAAAATGGGAAAGATTTTATATAAAGAAATCGTGCTGTAAGATAAAATTTTTCTTCTTGTTGCGCGAAAAATTAACTGCTGCATCTTGACCTTAGTAACTGAAAGAAATCTTAAGAAAAGGTATTGACATGAATTCAAACTCAATCATAGTATTGTGATGATTTAGTAGTTTCTTTTCCCCTCTTCATATTTTATTATCATATTATATTTTTTATATTCCATGAACTAAGCTTTTTATTTTATCAAAGAAATTTATTATTTTTTGTTAAGAATAAAAATCTTCTTAAATTCAAATAAAAATAGAAACGTGAGAATACATTGTTGCCAATCTATAATGAATGAGATCTTTTATCTTTAATATTATAAAAATGTATTGTTTATCAGCATAAGAAAATGATTCATGTAAATAATTATTATCTATACATTTCTTAAAATGTTTCTGCAATTTATAGCATAAATGTGATAAATGAGTACATTTTTATAACCCTGTCATATACCACTTATAAAATTTATGATTCTTTCGTACACTATGATTTGCATTCAAAATAAAATCAAGGACAACAGGGTTCGTAGCTGTCCCTTGCAAGTGCTTATAAGTCCTTATATTTGAAAATAAAGTTTAAAACCCCTTATATGTGCTTATTTTTTTCCTAAAGCAGACCTTTTTGTTTTTAGTGTTTTTTTTTTTTTTTTACCGAACGTACATTTTTTTCCCGTATCAAAGCCGAAACTAAATAAACAACTTTTCTTACTTATGTGGAATGTCAGATGGTGAATCCTAATCCCAGAAATAGCTTTCTGCCCCTTTCTCTGCATTAACATAACATGCATGTCACTCTATTGGTCAAAGAATTGCGAAAGCGGTAGAAAATTCCGATACATTCCGTGTTTTTTGCTCCCACCCAATACTACACATGTTTGAATTTCTATCAAGATTTTAATAATTTACGTTCTCGTTCCGCATGGTGAGTTCATATTCGCGTTTATTATGATCAGACTTGGATTTTGGATCATATCTTTACTGCTGGCTTTAGCTACTAGGAGCTCTTACCAGTATATTATCATTATACAATAGGCCATAAAGTTAAAAATTTAAGAGGTGTATTTAAAAGTACACTGCGCCCAAAGGCGAGATCAATAAATGAGATAATTCATAAAATACGTTTTGCTAAATTGCATATCATAGCATATCATGGGTGATTATATCAATGGCGGCGAGAGGCGAAATGAAAGTCAAAGCTTCTGGGTGAGTTTAGAAGAACAGAAACACGTGACCAACGTCCGACATTAAGATTGGTCGAGGAGTCAGAGTTTGAAAAATGATGTTTTATGTAGTTTTTGGAAATAAATAAAGTTCGAACATAGTAAAAGCAACATCTATCTGTGAATTTAAGAGTTCTATGTCTTTTGAAACACTTGAAAATCATCTAAACTTGCGATATAATCATTAAATGAATAGGAAACTGTAAAATGCGAAAATGAGGTCATGTGGATCAGTAGGGCTAATGAGTGAGAGTAAGCACTTGGTGATGATCACGAACTTTGATTTTAAAACACACAATACGAAATAGTAAAAATAAAAAGTAAAAGTAAAAATCTTGGTTAAATAAGTAGTAAAACGAAGAATTCATTGATGAAAAATAAAGTCCTAACTTTGCAAAGTTCATCTTTCTTGAATAGTAACTGAAGAGTAATAGTAAAATAAAAATATTTTTACAATATATACACTACCACCACTTAGAATTGTGGTGGATCGTTTGAGGTCTTTTCACTACGTGCTCAATAGTAGGGTCATAGTCTGTAAGCGATTTAATGGCTTTATAGGGAGAATTTCTTATATCTTCAAAGAAGTGTGTGCAGAAATTAGGATTTGGTCATGAATTGGGTTGATATCCATGTCTTTGTGAATTTGAGAATTACAAACCAGGGTGCCTTCACTATGCTACATAAGATTTTGTTTTGAGGAACATTTAATTTTTGTCTGTCTATTTTTCGGGCAGTAGCCCAGGCTGGAACTGCATAGAGGATTATTGAACGAATAAGTGAGATGTAGATATTTTTCTTGGTATGGAGGTTTAACTTAGAGTTTCTTCCAATTAATGAATAGAGAGCAATGAAAGCAGCGTTAGCCTTATTTGTAACATATTGAATATGATCTCTGAAATTTAGTTTTTTGTCAATATAGACACCTAAGTACTTATAGGAGTTGGCAACAGGAATATCTTGGTTATTGAGTCGGATATTTATATTATATTCACTGGGATATTTTTCCTGTATCTGCGGAAGAGAACTACACAGCATTTATCAGTATTTAGTTTGATTTTCCAGTCTTAACAAAATTTGTTAATAATGTTGACTTGGAGCTGAAGTTTCTCTAAAGCATTATTTGGACTTCGTGAACTGGTGAGGATGACTGTGTCGTCGGCATATTTGAGTATATTAGAATGAAAAGGTAGAGGCATATCATTTACGAATATTGTAAAATGCTTCAGTCCTAAAACACTGCCCTGAGCTACTCCACTGTAAATTACTTTTTTTGAAGAGATTGCTTCACCACAGCTTACTTGAAAAGTACGATGTTTAAAATAAGAATGCATAAGCTTGATAAAGCTGTTTGGTAAAGGAAAGTTCGATATCTTATGAAATAAGCCAGCATGCCACACTCGATCGAAAGCTCTTTCGAAATCGAGGAAGCATGCTGTTCCTTTTTTTTTTTTTTTTTTGTAAATTCTTGGGCAATAAATTCAACTAAATTTAATATTTGATGTGTGATACTGTGGCCTTTGCGGAATCCAAATTGATGCTTGTCTATTAGATTAAGGCGTTCTAGATGATTGGTGAGACTGATGCGTCTGTAATTTTTTGCTAGCTGTGGATCTTTTCTTGGTTTCGGGATGGTAACAATGATCGAGTGTTTCCACTGCAATGGAAAGTAGCTGAGTCTAATACAAGCATTAAAAATTTTTGTAATTAAGACTATGCATATTCTAGGTAAAGCTTGCAATGCTTCATTAGAAATCATGTCATATCCTTTAGCTTTGCACTTCTTTAATTTTTTAATAATTTGCCGAACTTCGTTTGGAGATGTAGGCGTAAAAAAATTAATGCTAGGACTGTTGAGGATGCTATTGACAGAGTAGTTAATATATTTTTCGTGATCAAAATTATTATTTTCATGTTGTTTAAAAATATTTTCTAATTCTTTTGCATGAATTTCAGCAATGGAGTCTTCGGAGTGGTGAAATTTGCCCATGTGATACAGGGGGTGAATTTGATTGGGTGAAACATTTCTGAGCGATTTAGCTACTTTCCAAACTGAGTTTGGGTAAAGATCCATGTTTTCTAGGAAATTATCCCACGAATTTGATCGATGGGTGGCGGTGTCTTCTTTTATTTTTCTGTTTAAATAATTAGTATGACATTTTTCAGTAGGATTGCGAGTAAGATGCCTTCTTTTTCTATTTCTTTCTTGTGTAAGGGATTTAATTTCTTCTGGGATGCCATAGGGATTTTTATTCTTGACTGTATAGGTAGCATTATTGATAGCGTTTTGAAATTTTGGAGTTTAATCTGGCGATTTCCAGCTCAGTATCACAGTGATAACGAAGTGTGGCTCTGCTGTTTACAGAATTTAGCTGTTCGGTAACCATATACCAATTAACTTTTGTATGAGCTTTAGGGAGAGGGGGATAAAATCCATTGAAAAGTTGGAAGACCTATAGGGAGATGGTCAGATGAAAGTTCTTGTGTGAACATCAAGATTAGGAATATTAAGGTTTTTCATCAAAACTATATCTAAAATATAACCGAGTCCGTTGTGCGTATAGTGCGTTGGAAGATTGCGAGCAATGAGATTGATGTTACTATTGTGGATGAAGTTGTTTAAATTTTCTCCGATTCTATTTGTGACTCTACAGTTCCAAGAGGAATTTTTAGCATTTAAATCACCTGCTATTAAGGTGGGGTAGTTATTTTCAGTAAGTAGTTTCAAATCATTGAGATCAAGGGTGCTTGAGGGGGGATTGTAGACGGTGATAAAAAGAAAAGGTTTTCTAAAACCACTATAGATAAGTACTGCAGCATTTTCTATAGTACAAGCAAGGGTTTTAATCATATTTGGCTGTTTTGATATGTTTTTAATGAGAATTGCGTTTCCTCCTCCTCTATTATGTCTTCTGTTTTTTCTGTAGATGCGATAGCCTTGTATTTTAAATTTGTCGCAAGAGCGGAGATG